ACACATCCAGTCTTGCTTTGACTCCTGCTGCTGCTTCCCACTCCATGTCCACGGCGCTGGCGCCATGGCGACGTCTTTGCTGTGCGTTGGGCCGCCAGAGAGCCCCTGCGGTACTGGCTGAAAGAACAGCTGTCGAGCGCAACCGCCCTGGCACTGCCGCGGACTAGCGGTATCCACTTTGTTCCCAGGGGAAACCAAAACCTTGAGCCAAAATGGCTACGGAGGAGAAGGAAGGAGAATGAGGGGGAGGAGGAGAGAGGAGGAGGAGGAGGAGAGGAGGAGGAGGAGAGGAGGAGGAGGAGGATGGGTAGGAGGAGGGGGGGGCGAAACCCAGCGCGAAGGAGCGCAGGAGGAGAGGGGGAGGAGGGGAGGAGGGGAAGGAGGGGGAGGAGGAGAGGAGGAGAGGAGGAGAGGAGGAGGAGGAGGAGGAGGAGGAAGGAGGATGAGGGGAGGAGGAGGAGGAGGAGGAGAAGGAGGAGGAGGAGGAGGAGGAGGAGGAGGAGGAGGAGGAGGAGGACGAGGAGGAGGAGGAGGAGGAGGAGGAGGAGAAGACAAGAGGAGGCAAGGGGAGGCAAGGCGGTACCGTCCCAGAGCGTTCTGGAACGCTCTCAGGGCGCTCGGGAGCGCTCTGAGAAGGCCGTGGCGCCCGAGGCAGGTTCAGGAGCTGGCGGATCTCAGAGGTTTCTCGACTTCCCTTACCCGATGTTTGAAACTGGAACATATACATTACCAGTGGCGGGCTGTTGTTCAATCCCAGGACTTTTTTGGGGGTCGGGGACGACGTCGGGGTGGTGTGGTGTATACTTTTTTCCCGGAAAGGGCGCCGGCCCAGAGCTCTCTTTTCGTATGGCAAACCTGTCCCCGGTGCCTCAACTGAGGTGGGCCGGCGGATTCTTTCCCTGATAAATATCGAGGTCGAGGTGGGCCGGCGGATTAAACTTTGAGGATGTCTCAGGCGATCCCGATCGATCAATCACTCCTCTTTCGTGTGTTGAGGATGTCTCGAGCGAAACGCTTGCTCCGCAGGGTTACCGAGGATGTCTCGAGCGAATCGCTTGTTTTGTAGAACTTGAGGGATCTGGGCGCCCCAGAGATTTGCCTTCGCACGACCACACCCCAGCATTACCCCACTCCAGCACGACCCCACCCCAGCAAGACCATCACTCAGCACGACCACACCCCAGCACGACCTCACCACAGCACGACCACACCCCAGCACGACCACGCCCCAGCACGACCACGCCCCAGCACGACCACGCCCCAGCACGACCACCCCCCAGCACCACTGCACGACCACCCCCCCAGCACGACCACCCCCCAGCACGACCACCCCCCAGCACGACCACACCCCAGCACGACCACTCCCCAGCACGACCACACCGCCTTGGTTGAGTGGTTGCCTGTCGTCGTGGAATGTTTCGTGGGGTGTCTCGTGGACTGTTTCGCGGGGTGTCTCGTGGAATGTTTCCAGGAAAACGTTGAAAACGGTCGCCCGTGTCTCGTGGAATGTTTCGCGGGGTGTCTCGTGGAAGTGCCCGTCGCCCAATACGGTGTCGTGAAAACGTTTCCATGCATGCGGTTCTATATCCCTTTCCGGGTTCGTGGGTCCATCATGTTCCCCGTTTTCCTGGGGAAACATCGAACATGTATACACCAGGATGCCGTATAACCAGAATCCGTTTTCCTGTGCGTATCTCAGTGCGGAACCGGAAAAAGGCATCGGTGTATAAAGTGGAGTTCTTTACGATGTTTTCCTCATCCTGGCTTCGGTCAGCCACGCGCAGAGGGGGGTGGGGGGAGGGGGGAGGGCTTCTGAGAAGCACCCCTGCTTCTTGGAAGGCGCGGACCTTCTCTATGGATGTGAGGCCGGCGCCTTAGAATCTAAGACGCAGCCTCCTCCTAAGAAGTCCTACCTCCTCCCGCCGCACCCTTGTGCGCGCCGCCAATTCCCAGGAGGGGAAAAATCACACAGACATAATTAATCGCCGATCCCCCAGGAAATATGGGAAACTATGGGACGTTGAGGGGAAGACAGAATCTCAGAAAAAATATGGAAATATGGGACATGTTGTTATTTCTGAGTTTTTTTTTTTTTTTTTTTTTTTTTTTTTTTTGTTTTTTTCTTTTTTTTTTGTTTTTGTGTGTGTGTGTGTGTGTGTCCCAGGGCCCCTTCAAATTCGTCTTGTCCCAATACCGAGCGAGGACGGGCTGTGCGATGAAGCCTTTCCGAATTTCGAAGTCGCCGCACGGTCCACCGCCGCACGGTCCGCCGCCGCACGGGTTCATGGGAGCGGCAGGGAGAGGAGAGGGGGTGGGCGAGCCCAGTGCGAAGGAGCGCGATAGGAGGAGGAGGAGCAGGAGGAGGAGGAGGATGAGGAGGAGGAGGGGGAGGGAGGAGGAGGAGGAGGAGGAGGAGGAGGAGGAGGAGGAGGAGGTGGAGGAGGAGGAGGAGGAGGTAGGAGGAGGAGGAGGAGGAGGAGGAGGAGGAGGGAGAGGAGGAGGAGGAGGGAGGAGGAGCAGGAGGAGCAGGAGGAGCAGGAGGAGCAGGATGGGGAGGGGGAGGACGGAAGGAGGAGGAGAGGAGAAGGCCAGACAGGAGGAGTGGAGCAGGAGGAGGTTGAGGAGGAACGGAGGAGGAAGAGGAGGAGGAGGAGGAGGAGGAGGAGGAGGAGAAGGAGGGGGACTGGACTGGACTGGACTGGACTGGACTGGACTGGACTGGACTGGACTGGACTGGACTGGACTGGACTGGACTGGCGCGCTGGCGATCCTGGTGTGTGACCCCTGGGGTGCAGCACTGTGCTACCCAGCAGGGAGTATGTAAAGGATCTGGAACTGCGATTAGAAGAGCGATAACCTGCGACTCCGCTGGGGGGGGTCCTCTGGCCCCGGGCAGAACCATCTAGACGCGGAAGACCCGCGATGGCCTGCAGGGGACAGGCGCACTCGGGAGAGGAGTCCTCCTCCTCCTCCCTCCTCCTCCTCCCTCCTCCCTCCTCCTCCTCCCTCTTCCTCCTCCTCCTCCTCCTCCTCCTCCTCCTCCTCCTCCTCCTCCTCCTCCCCCTCCCCCGTAAGTCCACCCCGGTTTGATCCTGCGCAGCCGCTGCCCAGCAGCGAGGACGGACCGAGGACGCCACGAGGAGGGGAACGACGTGCGAGGGGAGGGGGGGACCACGCGCGCCGGCGCGCGCACGCACACCCACGCACCCCACGACGCCAGAAGAAGAAGAAGAATAAGACACAGAAGAAGAATATGAGGAGGAAAAAGAAGAAGAATAATAATAAGAAGAAGAAGAAGAACACGCAAATAGTTAGCAGCAGCAGCAGCCGCGGATGAGAGGAGGGCGAGGAGAGGAGGAGAGCAAGCAGAGTAGCGGAGGGAGGGGGGGGGCTGCAAGCCCGACCTCGTTGTAAGGAGCATGTCTCAGAGTCCGAAGCCCGCGCTCAGCTGCTCAGCCTGTTTGAGTGGAGCAGTGCCCGTGCTGTTGGACAGCGCTCATCCGTACCCAATATCCGAATCATGCAAGCTCCAAAATTTCAATACTTGCTGAACGATTTCTTGAAGAGTGAATGGGGGAATTCAGTATTCCACCGCCACGTCAAGCGAAGTACAACCCAATTGTTGTGGTGTGGTATTTTTCGTATGGCTTATGCACATCTGTCACTATCCCAATCGCCGTCTTCGAAAGAACAAGTCATAATGTGGCTGTATATATTTCCAGGCACGGCTGCGAAGCAAGCGCTTCGAAGGCCCACGAGACGAAGGTGGCATATTGCTCCGTGACGCTAGCCTGATCTTCAGAACGTAGTGGCGACGCAAGCGCCTTGAAGGCCCACGAAGTGAAGGTAGCATACAGCTCTGTAAGAACCTTACGCTTCACAACCGCCTTCTCAGCCAACTCTCCCGCTGCCGTCAGATCCCGCTTCAGGTTGGAAGAGGTGCACTCTCCTCTATCGAAGTCCCTGTCTGTCTATGATGCCAGGATGTGCCCTGTACAACAGAAGCTTGATATTCCTGCCAGCTGCCAAGCACTTTCGGGCGTGTGTGCAGCGGGCGCGAGCCCGCCGACAGGCCGATGCCGATGTAGGAGCGGTCAAAGCAAAGGTCGAACACGAGGGCGACATAATACCAGACTGAGGATCAAACTTGGGCTCGCGAACACCTTGCATGACGACTCCCACCCCCTGACAGCAAAGATGGGTGGCAGTCGTGTTTTGTTGTCCCGTGATGCCCTGTGCGTGAGAGAGACAAGCCGAAGAGATTTGTTATACAACGGAATGAAGCACCGAAGCTGTAAGTGGGCAGGGGGCGGTGCGATTCCGTATCAGAATTGGGCCCTGGGAGCCAAGTGTTGAGGAGGAGGAGGAGGTGCAGGAGGAGGAGGAGGAGGAGAGAAGGATGAAGGGGAGGAGGAGGAGGAGGAGGAGGAGGAGGAGGAGGAGGAGGATCAGGCGGAGGAGGAGGAGGAAAAGGAGTAGGAGGAGGAGCAGCAGAGGAACGAGAAATGAGAAGGAGGAGCAGGAGCAGAGGAAGGAGAGATGGAGAGTCGGAGGACGAGGCGGGGGATGAGTGGAGGGAGAGAGAAAGCGAGAGAAGGAGGGAGAGAGCGAGCGAGCGAGAGAGAGAGCGCGAGAGAGACAGAGAGGGAGACAGCGCGCGAGAGCGAGGTAGAGAGGCCAGAGAGACAGAAGCGCGAGAGGCGCGTTCCGCACGGCGCCGGCCGCGTCCGTCCCGGCCCCCCCTGGCCCCCCCCGGCCTCTCCTCCTCGGCACGCGCGGGCTGGGCGCGGAAGGCACGGGTGCACTGCCCGGCAGCGGTTCCTGCTCCGCTCGAGCAGGACTCGCCGTCGGTGTCGCCGCGGCCCGTGCCCATTGGAGACCGAAGGCCGCCTGCTCCTCGGCGGCCTCCGCCGGTTTGGGCCAGCCTCTGCTGTTGGGCACCGTGCCCCTGTTTTCCATACCCCTGCCGGGCGTCCAGGCCTCCTGCCCGGGCGGCCGAGGTCCACCAGACCATCGGCCAGTTGCTGGAGGCGGAGAAGGCCGGTACACGCCGCCCCCTCGCGGCTGCTCCGTCCTCGAACCGTGCGTCGAGGGAGGACACTCTGAGGTCGGGCGTGTCCCTCCACAGGAGGAAGATCTGCAAAAATAATCCCCAAATAGGTTGGGGACGATTTCGTCTAGTATTTTGGCCATATGTTCCTATGTTTCCTGACTATTCAATATTTTCCTCTAAAGCCCGCCTGGAGGAGGACATGCCCGACCTAAACATACAGCTGAAACCCATGCCAAAAACGCCCTGCTTGCCTCCAGGGTGCCCTGGGCTTCCTTGGTTTCGAGGGTTTTGCGATGGAGAGCGCGACGTTCCCACACGAGAAATCATTGGACGTCCTGGGGCCTCAGGGTGGGGTTTCCTGTGGAAGGTTTCTGGTGGTCGGGGCCTCCACTGTATTGCATACCCATCGTTCATTCGATGTAGGTGCTCTTGGACTCCAAGCTCCCAAGCTAGTTCAGGCGCCCTCCTGCTCTTGGCGCTTCGCGTAACCCCGCGAGCCCATCCAGAAACGGTGCCCAGGCGCCTCGTTGTGATCAGGACCGTGGAGGAGCACGCAGTGGAATGAAGGGCTGGGGTAGCCGCCGTACCCAAAGAGAGGGAGGATGGAGGATGAATTGGAGGAGGAGGAGGAGGATGAGGAGGAGGAGGAGGAGGGGGAGGGGAGGGGAGGGGGAGGGGGAGGGGGAGGGGGAGGGGGAGGGGGAGGGGGGAGGGGGAGGGGAGGCAGGAGGAGGAGGAGGAGGAGAGGAGGAGGAGGAGGAGGAGGAGGAGGAGGAGGAGGAGGAGGAGGAGAGGAGGAGGAGGAGAAGGAGGGGGAGGGGGAGGGGGGGGGGAGGAGTGAGAAGGGAGGATGTGGAACGGGCGGAGGAGGAGGAGGAGGAGGAGGAGGAGGAGGAGGAGGAGGAAGCGGGCGAGCAGAAAGGCCAGAAGCCTCCTCGGAGCCTCTTCAGATGTCTCGTGCACGTTTCTTTGGGTCCTAATTTGTTGTCTTGAGGTTCTATTGGCGGTCCCATAGGCGTCGCGGAGCGTCTTGGGTGCCTCGGGGGAGCCTCTTGGGGCCTCCTGGGAGTTTCTACGGCGCCTCGCGGCACCCTTGGGGGCCTTGGGGGCCATCTTCGAGGAGATCGGTAAAAGAGGGGGGGACCATCTTTGCTTGTCCTCCCAGGAGGCCATTGTGTGCCCAAGCCTTAGTATAATCAATGATTTGTGCATTCTCGCCGACGCTTCCTTGGACGCTCTCATTGGTCGGCGCCCCGTTCCGGTCAAGGGGGAGGGGCAGGGGGAGGGGTCAAGACACCTTCCCCGCCCGCAAAGTTGTCTCGCTCACTCCCTCTCACCCTCTCAACACTTGAGTAGCACCCGAGCCGGAGCATGTTCAGCGATCGTCTATGCATCGGCAGCTACTGGAAACCAAAGCAGACCCCATGTGCACGACGTTGGGGCGAGTTGCGCCACGCGTGCCAGGCGCACCAGGTGCGCCAGCCCATGCGTGCCAGGCCTGCCTGGCGCGCCAGAAGCGCCACGTGCTCCACGTGCGCCATATGTGCCACATGGTCCAGCCGTGCCAGGTGCGCCACTTTCGGGGCAGGCGCAAAGTGTGCGAGGTGCGCCCGCGCACGTGATACAGCACACGTCGGGAAATATGCGAGCCCCCACCATCCTTGTCGAAAGCCAATGTGCAATCGCGGCGGGGAGGCCATCATGGTGTCTGGTCGGCCTGCCCACAGCAGGCAACATGCCAGCACCCCCGCCGCCATAGTCAAAAGCCAATGGACAACGATCGCGGGGTGACCGCGCATGATCCAAACTTCGCCGCGAAGTGTATGTTGCTTTGCTGTTGGAAAGGGATGGTGGCCTTGCGCAAAGCAGGCACTATGATAACACCCTCGCCGTCCCTGTCAAATAACGGTGCAAAGATCTCGCGGAGCCCACGAACATGATCCAAGATTTTGCCCCAAACGTGTGTCTTGTCTACTTTTTTGACAGGGATTGTGGGGGGTGTTGTCATTGCTCCTGGTTGTCTGCTGGTGGCAATGGGGGAGGGGGTGTTCGCTCATAGGGATCAGTGATAAACCCCTCCCCGCAGGGGAACACGGGGGGGTGGAAGATGAAACCCGCTAAATCACTCACGCCTTAAAGGGCTGGTGGGATTTCACATGTCGAGCGATTTCTTGCTCGTTCTTCTGCAGGGGGAGATGGGAAACCCAATCTACGTTGCAACGCCTTCATACTTGATATTTCCACCCATTCCGTCCGACCGATGGGTTACCATCAACTTTTGGAGGTCCGTGCGGATGTCTTGGAGATGGGCTGGGGACCCTGGTGGCTCTTTCGGTGCCGTCCACTGGCTCTCTCCGCGCGCCAGGGATGGGGGTCCAGCGCAGAACCAAGAGATCGGGTCGGAGCTAAGAGAGCTTATGTTTGTGAATGAGGGGGATAAGGATGAGGATAATCATTGTATGAAGAACGGAGGAGGAGGAGGAGGAGGAGGAGGAGGAGGAGGGGGAGGAGGAGGAGGAGGAGGAGGAGGAGGAGGAGGAGGAGGAGGAGGAGGAGGGAGGGAGGAGGAGGAGGAGGAGGAGGAGGAGGAGGAGGAGGTGGAGGAGGAGGAGGAGAGAGGGAGGAGGAGGAGGAGGAGGAGGAGGAGGAGGAGGAGGAGGAGGAGGAGGAGGAGGAGGAGGAGGAGGAGGAGGAGAGATTTTCACTTGTCCTCCCCCAGTGAACACTCCATCTCGCCACGGACCGCTGTCAAAGCCTTACACTTTAAATGAGGCGCATGTCTTGAACCTACGCGGGGGTGGCCATGGCGGCGTCTTTGGCGCGGCCCTTGGCGCGCTCCTCGCCAGGGGTGGGGGTCCTCGCTAGTCGAGCGTATTCGGACCAGGCCCTGGAAGCAACGCTGCCCCCATCCCCCTTCCCCAGCGACCTCCAGCCTCTCCCCCTCCATCCCTCCATCCCTCCCCGCTCCCCTCCCCTCCTTCTCCGAAGAATGCCTGGCCCTTTTCTTCTCGTCGCAAAGGTTGGCTTTTTTTCGCCCCCCCCCCCCTCCCCCTCGGAGTGCGCCCTCCCCCGATCAGAGGGATGAGGAGGAGGAGGAGGAGAGGAGAGAGGGAGGAGGAGGAAGTGGAGGAGGAGGAGGAGGAGGAGGAGGAGGAGGAGGGAGGAGGAGGAGGAGAGGATGGGGAGGATGAGGAGGAGGAGGAGGAGGAGGAGGAGAGGAGGAGGAGGAGGAGAGGAGGAGGAGGAGGAATGAGGAGGAGGAGAGGAGGAGGAGGAGAAGAGGAGAAGGAGGGGGAGGAGGAGGAGGAGGAGGAGGAGGAGGGGGAGTAAGAGGAGAAGGACGAGGAGCATGAAAGAAGGAGGAGGGGGTCGCGCGGCGGCCAAGGTGGTTGGGGGGGGGGGCGGGGGCGGGGGCCTGCGTTGTGCGGCGGAGAGGAGGGGTAGGCGGTTTCGTACAGGTCCGGCAGGGGGGGGGAGTTCTGAAGGAGCGCCTTCTCCTTCTCCTCCCCTCCCCTCCCCCCTCCCTCCTCTCCCCTCCCTCTCCTTCCTCCCCCGTCCTCCTCCGCCTCCCTCTCTCCTCCTCTCCTCCTCCTTGTCCTCCTCCTGTCCTCCTCCTCCTCCTCCTCCTCCTCCTCCTCCTCCTCCTCCTCCTCCCAGTCGGAGGTTTTCGTCGCTTTCGGCATCTCGGGGCCCTCGCCGGGCCTCGGGGCCGTCCAAGAGCGGCTTGGGGTGAAAAGCCGGTCCTGGGGAAGTGGTCGGGTGGTCGGGCGCCCGTGTCTCGAAAACATCGAGACGTCGGATGTCTGGGGTCGCTGCTAACAGGGGGGTGGGGGGTCTCAACCCCCCCCCATTCCCAAAACCTGGGGGGGGGGGGGGGGCGGTTCCCAGCGGCCCTGGCCGTTTACGAAACAGCCCTGCCCTGTTCGATTCCTTCTGTCAGGGCTGACCATTCTGTGGGCTGGGTTTTCCAGTTCTCTGCCCTCGACATTACTTCCGCGGGGTCCATGATCTCCTCCCCCCTCCCCCAGGGAGGCGTCTGCGGAGGGGGCCCCGCTGGCTTCTGATCCCCTCCCCCGTTGTAGACTTTTTGCTCAGGCCAGCGACGGCGGGGCGCGCTCCCGCGGTGGTTTTTCGTGCTGCGCCTCCCGCCAGAGCACCCGGGGCGTCTTCGCGCGAGCGCCGGGGGGCAGCCAAGGGGGGCGTGTGCTGGTTGCAGGGGAGGCGCCTGCCAAGAAGCACCCATCTTGCCTCCAGGGCGCCCTGGGTGTCTCGGGTCTCGCTGGCGTTGCGATGGGAGGCGTGGCGCCCTCCTGCCCAGAAGTCATGGGCGTCCCGGGGTCTCGGGGCTGGTTGGGCTTCTTGTGGGAGGCTTCCTGTGGGCTGGCCTCCACTGTATGTTTAGGTGTCATGACCCTCTCTTCTTACTCGATGCGTCCCCTCGTCCGCGCGCGTGCTTCGGGCCGTGAGTTGCGGGCCCTCCCCTCCTGGGCGCCCCCGATTTGGACGCCCCGCGAGAGCGGGTAGGCGGAGGGAACGCCAGCTCAGAATAGCAGGATTCGGAGCGTGAATTACCTCCCCCGCTTTCGCTTCCAGGCAAAACCAAGCCATACCACGCGCCTCCTCGTCAAGCGTCCTGACCAGTACAGGCCGCAATTTGGCATTGTTTGGTATCTCTTGGAAGCGAGGGTGGTCAAAAGCGAGGTAGGTTTGTTTTCCCCCGAGGGATAGCATATCATGCACCTGTGGGCGTGTGCCGTCACCCGGGCCCAGTGGGGCAGTAAGAAGAGGACGACGCCCTCCTCATCCCTTCCCCTCCTCGATTGCGACTTCCTCGTGGGGAGGGCGGAGGGAGGAGGAGACGGAGGAGGAGGAGGAGGACGACGACATGCCCGAGGAGCCGGCATTCCTGGCCGACATGATGTCGGACTGCTACCCGATAGTGGGATGCTCGCAGGGCTTCCTGGAGCTGACGCAGTACTCGCAGGATGCGGCGCCCTCGGCGTCCCCCACCTCTTCCGCCTCCGTCTTCACCTCGCCCCTCCCATTCTTCCTCCTCCCCCTCCTCCTCCTCCTCCTCCTCCTCCTCCTCCTCCTCCTCCTCCTCCTTCTGCTCCTCCTCCTCCGTAGCCATTTTGGCTCAAGGGGCCTTTCTCCTGAACTTCCCAACCTCGGTCCAAGCCTCACAAGCGAGGAGCATCCTGCCTCCTTGGGGCGCTTAGGCTTGGCACATTCGGTCTGGGAACGACTCCTCCCTTCCGCGCGCGATGGCTGCCAATCAGGCCATCATCTCCGAGCTCAAGGCCGTCATGGAGACCACCATGCAGGGATTCCAAGCGAGCCTGTCAGAAGCTCTGGACTCGAAACTCGGTGCCCTCAGCACGGAACTGACCACAGCTCAGGAGGAGACCAACGCGAAGCTCGGATAATTACAGATGGAGATGGAGTCCCAGCGTGAGAGGATTGACCAGCAGGCGGCTACAATCCGACTGCTTCAAGAGCAAGCAGAGCAGGCATCTACGACAGCAGGGCCAGTGGCATCTAGCGCTTCTGGCTTCACTGGATCAGCGAGACGTGGTGCTGCAGGCGGCAGTAAGTTCAGGCGGGTCGGCACGGTCGAGGAGTCGGCTGACAAGTTAACCAAGTTCGTCGGTGGCTTCCCTAGACCCCTATTGGCCAAATTCAGAGAATCTCACTTCGAGAACCTGAAGACGGTGTACCCGCAGTACATCAGCGACGACGTCAACGGCTCCTTCCACCGCGTCGGGGTCAACTACAAGATCATCTTCAAGAGTGAGTCGGCTGCGGCAGACTTCCAGGACCAGTTCAATCGAGCGGGCCACATGTGGACTGACCCGAGGGACCACACCAAGCACCCGCTCCGCGGGCGTGGCGATCTCCCGATCGATGTGCGCAATCGGCGTCGTGCATTCTCAGCCATCTACACGGGTGTCAAGGACCTGCTATCGAGTTCCGCTAGGTGGAAACCATCATGCAGGCTAGGAGTGAATGGATATAAAGGAGTGCTCCAGGTCAGCAATGATGAGGACTTGTGGGAATTGGTCTTCGCAAAACCTGCAGGATTCAAAGATGGCAAAGAGGTCTTCATGTTCGAGCCGAAGCAGACCGAACTTTCCCAGTAGAACATCACGGCAGAGCAGATCCAGAATGTGATCACTCAAGCGGAGGCTGAGGCTCGTAAGCGAGCGGACGATGAGAATTTCTGACATTAACACACGGGGACGCCCGAGAAGACGCAGAGTTTCACAACAGATGAGAGTTCGTGCTTCATCTTATTCTTCCTCTTCCTCTTCTGGTTCCTCTTCCTCATCGGGGAGTGGATGTGCCTCGTCGAGTGGGCGATCTACAGGCGGGAGCTCCAGCTCTTCTTCTTCCTCGTCAAGCTCGCCAGTTGTAGGTGTGCGATCTCTGCCCTTTTTTCCTTGTACTCAAGTGGGGTCTGTGTCATGGAATTGCCATGCGCTTTTTGGAGCCTTAGGAGGTGACCATAAGACTCAATCATGCACATATGCATGTGCGAAGGGGCTTCTCTCGAAGTATGATGTATGTGCATTTCAGGAGACACACGGGTGTTCAGGTGATTTGGAAACGCTCCAAAAAGAAGTTAAGTCGCACTCTCATTATGGGTCTTTTTGCTCTGCCGTGGGGGCTGGTGGAGTGGCGTTGAGTATCGCCAAGAAGCTGGCGACGAAGTTTTCGCATATAGTGCATCGCGTGCTCGTGCCTGGCCGCATCCATTGTCTGTCCTTCCTCTCCGACTCCGAATGTCTACAGGTGTTCAATATGCATATCGTTCCAGGTATCCCAGAAGCCCAGGTTAAACAACAGATGGACAAGATCAAACGCTACATGCTCCCTCTCTCCTCCTGCACCGTCGTCATGATGGGCGATTTCAACTTTGTGGAGTCGGGCGAGGCCCGCCTGCAGACGCACGGCGGAGTCGAGCGCGTTGGCGACAACCGGCTGTGCCTTGCGCTCCACCAGCGGTTCCCTCGCTTTGCTGAACTCTCCCAACCCAGCTACACCTACCGACGTAAGACTGAGACGATAATGACGTTATCCCGAATCGACCGTATATATATATACAAGTATGCCTACTGCTGACTTTTAGACCTACGTCCTCAATCAAGTACGGTATGGCCTATTCAGAACCTCCGCAAGCCCTCTGACCATGCTCCGATCTTCCTCTCCCTGTTCCCGTTGACTGAGAAGCCAGATTTGCCGACTATACCTAGGTGGATTGCTACGCACAGTAAGTGTCGAGAGGTATTGGACGAGGTCTTGGGCCCAGATGAGCTCCACGAGGCGCCCCCTGAGAGGCTCTTGGAAATTAAAGACTGATTCCGACACGCTGCCCATTGTACGCGGGTTCACGTTTTCTCTCAAGGTGCTTGCACTCCGTCCGAGAAAGTATCATGCTGTACTAAGCTGCTAAGAGCATCCAGGGATGGTTTAACAGATATCTGCAGGAAGGCTGTCCAGGCCTATGATGAACTGGGCAAGTACTTCAGCGTGGAGTACGACAGGTGCACGGACCTGCCTGGCTTTCACCTGTTACTAAGTCGTCTGATGCGTGAAGTTTTAGACCAGTATGAGAGGTGCTTGTTCGAATCCGACCTCCCCCCACGCGGTGAAGGAAAAACACATTGAAAGAGTTCGACGACTTAGTAAAGCTTGGCGAGCATCGAAGAGGCAGGTCACTCTCTCTGCAATTTTAGATCCGCACGGCGCTGCCCATCGGGTGCCTGAAGATTGTGCGCGCACGCTTGCTGGCTATTGGTCTATTGTCTTTCAGTATGGTGAGTCTGCTAGCACACATGCCAAGAAGTTCCTTGATCTGGTGCCCCAGCTCGAGCTAGATGACTACCAGTTCACCACCATAGACCACCAGAGATACCCCTGGGTAATCAGTCCTGATCAGTTTAGATACATCCTTTCGAAAAAGCATGACACGGCCCCTGGGCCCGACGGGCTCCCATGCTCGGTGTGGAAATGCGGGAATGAGGTGGTGGTGGAGGCCTTATATACACATTGCACACATAAGATGGCTGGTGGAGTACTGCGTGCATCTTTGAACCACTGTAGGCTGGTATTTTTGCCGAAGGGGGGATCTGCCTCAAGATGGGATGGCCGAGCAACGACCAGAGGACACCCGACCCTTGGCGCTCAGCAACACTGACCAGAAACTCATGGCCTCCTGTCTGGCCTATCCGCTGAAACATGTTGTTCGTGAAAAGCTCCACCCCATCCAGCGTGGGTTTATTGGTGGGGGGAACATGATTGATAATGTCCTGGAATTTGAAGGGTCTATGGCCACTTGGGGTGTTCTCTGCAAGGCCGACTTTGTTGGAGGCGCGACTTTCGACCTGAAGGCGGCTTTTCCGTCGCTGTACTTCTCGTGGCTCTTTAAGGTCCTGAAGGCATTCAGGCTGCCACTTGCTGTTCGTGGTGCGCTTCGTGCTCTCTATCTGCAAGTGCATTGTTTTACCCAGTTCGGAGTGCACCTGTATCCAGGCTTTGAAGCACTCCGAGGCGCCCGCCAGGGGCGCCCACTGATTGGAATACTGTTCGCGTTTGCTTTCGGCCCGCTGCTCCGTGCCCTGGGGAGAATGCAACTTCGGATTCCAATGGTGCCCTCAGCTTTTGCTGATGATCTTTCGGCAATGGCTTTTGACATCTTCCAGGCTCTTCCAGGGATCCTTGCTCTGTTTCGTTTTTACGGGCCGTGCTCTGGATTGGTTCTCAACCTCAAGAAATGCAAGTTGATTTTATTTCATAATCCTGGGAAGGAGGAGGTGTTGAGGAGGTTCCAGGAGATGGGGGTTGACGTCTCTGAATTTGGTATCGAGAATATGGTCATCACGTTAGGCATCCCTGTCGGTCGCGGTGCACGTGCACACGCTTGGAGGACTGCCAGCAGTAAAGTTCGAGCTCGGGCGAATGAGGTCAAGGCGCTAGGACTCGGGATGATCGAATCCGTCATAGCGTACAACAGATACTGCGTCCCCATCCTCTCCCACATCGCCCAGTGCCACTTGATTACGAAACATGCCCTTAGAAATGAAAAAGAAAACCATCAACTGCTCACGAGAGCACCGAGACATCCGTTTCCTCCGCAGGCGCTTTTTAGACTCCAGGAGCTCGGCAGCCCAGCGGAGTGCAGGAGTTTGAAGGTGATCTCCAGGGCCACCATGCTGCGAGCGGCGATCTGCTCGGACTCTTTCTCGAGGTTGAGAGATAATTTCAAGATTGCCGTCGACGGTGACTATTGTAATATCTCATGACAATGTAATGCGTACTTGGTGGGCTCGATTTTCTACAATATGTACTGTCTGTATGAATGGTTTTGCACGATTAAGAACATATGTGAGCTTCCATACCCTAAGGTCCAGCATACAATATTCAAGTTACTGAAACAGCGTGAAGTCAATGTGATGTGTCCAATCGGTTCGATTATTGCCCCTCGCCTGATCAAGATGTTAGGCCCTCTCCCTCCTGATGCCGTTGATCGCACCATCCTCAGACTCAGTCTCATGAAAACCCGTAAACTTCCGTCGTTCATCATCGTCAGTGTCCTCAAATCGATCTTCAATGCGTGGAATACAACCCGTCGCTACCGACAACAACAATGTCCTTGTGTGTTTGGATGTGGAGCCCAAGCCTCTGATTCAATGGAGCACTATATGGTATGTCCTGTATTGGTCCAGAAGGTTAGACATCATCTTCATTATCTACCCCTGAGCTGGGGCACGAACGCACGCAATGCCATTTTCCCTCATTCATTAATCGCTTCGCTCATTCCGCCGGCCCATACGGTCTCATGTCTGCCGTTTGCCCGAGGGCCTGGTGTCAATGCGGCGCTTTGGGGGTTCCTGGGGCCGCTTGGGGGACTCCTGGGGCGCTCGGGGGGGCATTTGAGGGGTCTCCTGGGGCCGCTTGGGGGACTCTTGGGGGCCTCCTGAGGGC